AAAAAAAAAAAAAAAAAAAAGAAATGAAAGAGGACACGCATCTTTTGAGGAAAAGGTCAAAGACAAGACACAAGATGTCAAAAAAATATAATATCACAAACAAGATGAAAATCAGGCTGGCAGAGCTCACGAAAAACTTAAAGACACGATAATTTCAGAAATAGAACTTTTATTAGAAGTAGCAAGAAATAGAAAAAGACATTGCAGAAATTGCTCAGGGATTTGGAGGATGGGTCTGAGAAACTCATCCCAAATCAAACGGAGAACAAGAGACAAAGGTGATTCAAGAGATCCCAAATGTACAGAATCAGGAACAAGAGAACAGGAAAGGAAAAAGAAAAAAAGGAAGCTCCAAGAAAAATTATTTTGAACCCAAGGATGACCTGAACCTTCAATTTAAACAACATGCCATGATTAGAAAAATATTGCCCAGAACAACCAATACACTATGATGTATTTGATAAATTATTGAACTTGGAGGATAAAAAAGAACCCCTTGGGCATCCAGACAATAATAATAATAGCAACAACAGCACTAATAGTAATAATAATGATAAAATAATAAACAGTAAAGCCACCTACACAGGGAATAAGTTCAGACTGGCTTCATAAGTCTCCATGACCGCATTAAAAACCAGAAAACAGTGGTTTAATATTTATAAAGAATTAAGGGAAAGGATGTGTGATGTAAGAATTTTATATCCAGGGTAAATTGTTGTTTTTACCTAGACTTCTGGTCTCAATAAAATAAGCACGCATGAGTCATTTTTTAAAATAGAACTGCTATATGATGAAATAATAAAATGAAAATAAAAATAAGAATCCAGGAACAGAGAAGGTATGTGGTATAAAAGGATTGATGATAAACATAGAACCTATTTAAATCTAAAGCCAGAATGAAGACTAAACAACAGTGAGAATTGTAGGTATAGGACAGAATCAAAATATATAGTCAACTTGGATGTTTTTACAACCAATGGAAGGGGGATAAGGGAAAAGAAATGGAAAGAATGTCCTTATGCTAATTTCCTCATTTGTCATAATCAGGAGTAAATAGAGATCATCTAAAGTTGATAAATCAAGAAATAAAGAATTCTTATTATTTAAATTTATATAAGAAACGACTGGAAAAATTAAATCAGACCATGAATCTTCTAAACTACCAGAAAGGGAAACACACACACACACACACACGCACAAGTATACACAGAAAGAGGGAGAACGAAGTAAATATTAAATTTAGAAAATATAAAAACAAGATAAGAGGCATACATGTAACAGATTTACTGAGAAATGTTAAAATGAAAACATGAACAAAGGTGAACCAGGCAAATGCAAAAGAAAGGAAAGCAGAATTCTCAACATTAATGTCAGTAGGCTGAATTCAAGCAAAAGATGTTAAACAGCTTAGGGCTTTCTGAAAGTTACATGGTCCTGTTTTGCTGCACCAATGGCTGCTGGCCTCCAAAATCTGAGTAATAAGTCCCAGAGATCTTCTAATTTGTGGTAAGTCCCATGTTCACTTCTTTCAGACATCCCGGGGCTGCCTTTGTAGCCCTGGGTCCCTGTCAGGGGATGAATTGTGTCGCCCAAATTCATTTGTTGAAGTCCTAACCCCCCAGTACCTCAGAACATGACCTTATTTGGAAATAGAGTCTTAGTAGATGTAATTAGGTAAGATGAGTTCATATTGGAGTTGAGTGGGTGCCTAATCCAATAGGACTGGTGTCCTTATAAAGGGGAAATTTGGACACAGAGACACACACACAGGGAAAATGCCATGTGAAGCCTGGAGTTATACTGCCACAAGCCAAGGAACTACCAGAAGCTAGAAGAGAGAGACCTGGAACAGATCCTTCCCTAGAGCCTTCAGAGGGAGCGTGGCCCTGCTGACACCTTGACCTTGGACTTGTGGCCTCCAGGACTGTGAGAGAATAAATGTCTCTTGTTCTAAGCCACCCAGTTTGTGGTGTTTGTTAAGGCAGCCCCAGGAAACCGATACAGTCCCCAACAGTATACACGCTCCTTTGTGACTAATTCCCCAACGGCACCCCTCCGGCCGAAGAAAACATCTCCCACCGTAGTGTTGCCCATGATATTTATTCTCAGTTGCCCTGTCCTTACATCCACTATTTCCCTGAGGTAAAGATTTGTGTCCATTTTGTTCATGAATCTATCCTCTGTGCATGGTAGACCCACAACGAGATAATTTTCTCAGCAGCAGAATGATGGAAATCTGTAGGAATAACATACACGGATATTTGAGATTTCAGGAGGTGAAGCTTAGCAGGTAGGAAAAAGAGAGGACAGTTCACAGTGGTCCTGGTACAGGAAGGACAAACAGGAAGGTTTATCACAAATCTTTAGGCACCAAATAACACAGCAGCAAAACACATAAAGAAACCGGGAAAGCTGGGAGAAATCCACTGGGGTACAGAGCACATGCATGCCAGCGGATCACAAGGACCGTCAGTGAGGAACTGGTGGTCGGGATTGTGTGGAGCCACTGTTGCGAATCCAGTATCTTTACAGCCTTTCCCGTACCCAGTATGCCCTAGGCAAAGTCAAAGTGCAACTCAGGGTAGCCCGCAGGCCTGTGGGATGAAATCAGGACCTGAGAAAGAGAATCCTCAAAGAGTGGATTGTCTGATCTAAGTGCCTACGTAAGTGGGTTTTCCCTTTGCTGATTATTTCCTCTTTATTTTCAGATCGTGGCCAAGAGATACAGAGATTTTGAATTTCCTTCTGAAATGACTGGCATCTGGAGATACTTGAACAATGCTTATGCTAGGGATGAGTTCACAAATACGTGTCCGGCTGACCAGGAGATCGAGCATGCCTATTCAGATGTTGCAAAAAGAATGAAGTGAAGCCGGGGTATTTTCTGTCTTACGTCTCAGTTGTATGAGCTAGGCTATGAAAAGAACGTGTTCTTTGCATCCTCCCCCCGTCGATAACCATCCTTTGCAAAATAATGCCTATATTTTAACAATATCCATATCAGAGCATGATCCACTCAACACCAAATCATACGTGGGCTTGTAATTTGTCAACTCACTTGTGTATCTGAATAATCCCAGTATCTGTTGTTATACACACCAATTGTCCGGTTTATGTTAATTTATGTCTTTGACCTTCATTGACATTGTGATCCGTGATATTTAGAGCATGTGTTTTGCAGTTTGTTTCAAAGCAAATTAAGTTTGGGTTCAATGCCTCCTTCAGTTTAAAAAAATTTGTCTATCTCTGATAGTTTTCATAATCATGTATAGCCTGTTTTTCTCCTCTAAAATGGTAGTTTAATTTTTTTCAGAATGAAAATACTGTTTTTGGAATTACAAAATGATATATGCCTATTTTAATATTTTAAAACAATGTCAGAGAGTATAAAGAAGAAAGAAAAAAGTCAACTAAAATGTCACTACGCTTAGATAACTACTGGTAACATATTGGTGAGCGTCTTCCAGATCTTTAGTCTCTCTCTCTCACACACACATTCACACCACACACGATTTGATTCCTATGTGGTCTTGTGTTACTTTATTTTAAGTAAAGGGGAGCTCTTGGGAATGCACCGATGATCACCCATAGAGGACCTAAAACAAAAAGATTTGGCACTTCAGAGCTAGAGAGGATGCTTGTGATCAGGTTTCATAGGGATGGAGAACTGTCGAGTCCACAGACCGGCAGGGACCGGCAGGGACCAGCAGCGACCGGAAGCTGTGGAGGGTCCCCACTCTGCCTTGTTACAGCCTCTGTGACACCACTGCCTCTGGTTCCTGGGAAGGCAACGGGGGAGAGTGCCAATCTGTGTCTTTTATTCCAGCTCCCTTTCTGATGCCTTCTCTTGCTCCCTCCGCTCTCACGGAGACCGTGCCCTCAGGAGAACTCTTAATATCAGCTGCAGGTTGGAGAATCTCCCTGCCCTGTGTTGAAATGTGAATCAAGCACAACTTGATTCCTTCTAACAGCCGCTCGCTAAGACCCAACACTGCACTTCTTCAGGATGATGTAGTGTGGGGCTAGCCTGGTTCTTGTTGCTTCTGTCTTTTATCATCTCATTTCGAGGTCAGGCAGGGAAAATCCAGGGAGATTAAATTCATGGTGACTATTCTTGGGCAGTTCTGGTAAACGGTCAAATTGGAGAGGAAGTGGAAACTATTGACTCAAAAGAGTTTTCTGGTTTATCTGTGGCTTCCCCTCCACCATACCTGTAGCCAGCCTCTCATCAACAGCTGTGTGTGTGGGCTGGGTTGCTGGGCTCCAACTCAAGGCATGGAAGACAAAATGGGAGGCTGTTTAGATACTCATCAAGACCTCACAGGGTTGGAGCATTAACTACCAGGCTGTGTTCCTTTGACATTTACACTCATCTTACAGAAAACCCTCTTGTCAAGTTGGTTGTAGTGTATGGCTGATGCTAAACTGCTCATTAAAAAAAAAAGTATAATCTGCTCTATGGCAATTCATTTGAAAGAGAGTAAAATGCATTAACAGTAACTGTTCTGGGATTTAGTGAAAAATATCTAGTAAGAGAAACAAAGTCCTTAATACTGTGGCCACTTTCTTTCTCCATTACTGGCTGCTACACTTTTACCTGGAGGCGGGCGGCTCCAGCAATCTGCTGTCTTTGTTAGCCATACACTTTTGGAGGCTGTGTCTAGCATATGTCACCATTGTTCATGTTTCACATCTGTTTAGGAGTCAGATTTTTAAAACAAGTTTTATAATGTTGCATTTAAACTTGGTAAATGAATAGACTACCATTTATTTCTAGTGCAAACTTTGTATTTTTAGATTATAAAATGATCTACATAAACTCCATGTGCCTTAAAAATTAAACAAATTATAAAAATGTTTACATGGAACCAATATCTTTAATTTTTTTTTTTTTACTTTGCATTCCCCACTTAGATTTAAAGAAATAAAATGAACAGAAATGGGCTTCCTTTGAAATGGTGAGATCAACTTTGAACCAGAGATTATTGGTATTTGAATTAGAGGTAATCTATATTTGAATTGTGGACCACAAAGATATTTTAACAGAGCCTTAAAGAGGTCTGAAAAGACATGTGTAACTTTGTCCAGGTGGCTGAAATAGAGGCCCCACAGACTGTTCCATTTTTAAATGTAATTGTAGGAAAGCGAATAGTTCTGCCAGTTGTCCCCTACCAGCAGCCCCGCCCCCACACCCCCTCCACAGGCCCCTAAAAGCTGTTCATATGTGGGACGGTGAGAAATACTCCAGGGTTGTTTGTCTGCCTTAACATCTTTATTACAGTGTGGTTTTTAAAACAAAATGCATTTGTTCTTCAAAACATACCATACAGAGTGCAAATATGACAAATTGCGAAGGCAGCCCTCCTTTGAGGCTGACGAGTGAAGGTTCTCTGGGTGGAGGGGATTCTATTCTCGCTTCTGGTTGCCCAAGAGGGCTGACAATTAGAAAAAATTAGCCTTACTTCTGAACACAGAATCTCCAAATGTAGGTGGAGAAGAATACAAGAGCGTCACAAAGCTACACTTTCTGGATACTGCCCAGCAAGCGAGGATGGAAGGATAGACATTATCCCAGGAAAGAGACCAGAGGTCTGAGTAGGTCATTTCTGATCCACGGTTCCCTCCTCAGGAATTGAATGAACATATGCCCGAGCCCTTTACCCGCCAAACAGACACACGCACATTCACATGCATGCATACCCACACACACATACACATTCACATATACACATCCTCACAACACTGTCACAAGCACACGTTCACACAAGCACAAACATGCACATACACATTCACACACGCAAACATACACACTCATATGTAATACACTCACACATACACATTGGCACGCATTCGCCTACGTACACATGTGCACACACTCCCCCCACACACACTGCTGGGTGAGGTCGGGGCTTCCCTTCGTCCATCCTTTCCTCAGTGACCGGAAACACACTCTTGGCAACATTCCACCCATGCCTCGGTCCCCACTTCCAGTGGTTCATAATTAGGCTTTTGAAGAATTTAAAAAGAATAGTTTTTTTTTTTAAAGTAAAAAAACGCCAACCTTTCTTTTATTTTACAGTTAAGAGAACCAAGCCGTGCATCATCCTAAGAACATATAATTCACAAAACCTTGGATACATAAAATGGACAAATTAGGGGATGTCTGCTCACTTTATAAAACAGCTTCTCTTTCCATACAGCGGTTTAATTTTGAATCCTTCTATATAGCTGGTTTCCCTTCAAAAGTTTGAATTTTGGTTTAGTATGTTACCGCATTCGGGGTGGGACCACTTAATAGGACCCGATGCCCGGGGTGGCCCCTGCTCACAGAGGGGCTGAGTGACTCACTGGGGCCCCTGCAGGTCCAGGTGGTCAGGGAGGCCCTGCCGCCGCCCGTGTACTCAGGACCCAGGAGTGCGACTGCCCGCTGACGCAGCCTGTGCTCTGACAGTCATCGTCCTCACTGCGGGGGTTCCAGCCGAGTCTCTGATGACCTTGGCCTTCAAGGCCGTTTACTCAGAGAGCGAGCCCAGAGCCGCCATAATTTAGGTCAGGCCACAGTCCAGGGGAAATTGTGTTCAAAAGCAGGGAGTTGCAGATTGGGGGGTAGAAGCCACCTCTTCAGGGAGTAAGGCCCGGGACTGGGCCGCCAACAGGCCCTTATTCAACCTGCTGCTCATTTCTCCCCTCTCAGGGACTGCTGTGCACACTGCCCTACCCCAGCGTCTCTCCTGCGGCACCTGGCCATTTCAGCTGTCCTGACAACCCTCTTGAAGAGAAGCCAGTTGTCTTGACGACACTCCTGCTTCCATCTCCTCCTCGCCCCCTTCTGTAATGGGTTCCCTGACGTGCCCCTGGGTGAGTGGTCAGCGACGGTGGCCATCAGCTGCCCTGCTGGGTTCTGTCCCCTGCAGAGCCATCCCTCCAGGCGGCTAACACTTGTAAATCTGAGTCTGGGCCCTTTCTGAAGCCCCGACCTTCTACTACTACATATGCCACTAACACCTGTGGAGCCTTGGGGAGCCCATTAAATCTTTGAGGTCCCCTCAGGTTCCAGGATAATTATACCAGAAGGAGGGGAAGGGCCCTTGCTCAGAACGTTCCTTGGTTTTGTAAGAGGGGGTGTTCAAGTAGCATTCGGGTTTGCCTGTGTTCACTTTCTGTCATTAAGTGCTAACAAGTTAAACATGTTACTACCTCTTTCCTACAAGGAGCTTTGAGGCAGTGGAGATGTTTAAGAAACCACAAAAGAAACTGAGGCAGACACAGGGTCCTAAATCTGACCCGCATACCTCTGACACGTCTGAATGGTCATTAATCTTTCTGAGCCTAGCTCTCGTCTGGAAAATGGGAACAATATCTCCCAGTCATGTAGAAAGTGGGGTGCTTAGAAGTTCTCTGTGAAAGTTGCGATGCAGCTGGCTGCATACACATTGTTTTTATGGTATTTGCTCTTCTGACATGGGTTATCTTGCCAACTGCTCAGATGTCCCCTTTGGTGAGTGCCTGTGGGCTGTCCAGGTCTGGTCCAGTGGTCTGTCAGGCACCCTGTGAACTGGACGGGCTCCACAGTGGACTGGTGGCTCTAGTCCTCCCATTTGGCTTGGAGAGGCTGTTTTCAATTGTAGGACATTTACTTGAGGCCCTGAGGAGTGGAAAAGCAGATAAATCCATACGAGTGGTCTTCAAGCCAGAACTCATCCATTCTTCTCACCACTAGGTGGGGCTTCCTCCCATTCCGTGAAGCCAGGGATGCCTCATCCCACCTTCGGCAGGAATTGGGCTTCAGGTGGGCAACCAGTTGGGATGACCCCCTGGTCTGATATAGATACAGCCTCAGGACTTCATCCAAACCCAGTCCAGCCTTCTCAGTGTCAGTTTAGGGTGGTCCACATGTCAAAGGGTGGCTTTTCAGGGCCAGAGAAGCAAAGTGTAGAATGATCCCGCTGGTCTCAGCCCAGCTTCTAAGAAGTCCACACCCGAATGGTCAGGTTGCATTTTCTGATGTGCTGAAGGATGTCTGTGGAGGGGGCTCCCCATCTGCCTTGTGGCTTTCTGCCCTGCCCTGAAAGTGCCTTTGAGGCCAAGAAGCTCCTTGTCATAGCCACCTCTAATGCAACCTGTTCTTGATAGCTCCTCATCCATTTCATGTTTGTGCAAATAGATACGGAATGGGGGTGGGCACTCCCTTGTAGACTTCAGGAACTGAAAAGAGCCCTTGGGTCACTCCTCGACTTTCTCCTCTCCAAGCCCCCTGATCGCAGTGCTCCCTCCTGGAGCCCAACACACAGTGGCTCAGAGATGCATGAGGATTATATGGAAGGGGTAAATTCTTGGATCTCAAGAAACATATAGTAGCTGAGATTCCTGCTTCCTCTCCTCACAAACCTTGGCTCCTGAGGCCAGCACACCTCCTTGTGTTGACTTGTTCTTATGGCCCTGGGCATGGAAGAAGGTGCCAGGGCTCCTGTGCAGGTGGTCAGTGGGAGGAGGCACCCTCCTGCCTCCATCCTATGGCTGTGTCCCCTGAATCTCCTCCTGGCCCCTCTTCTGCCCCAGAAAGATGGAGGGGCTGCATGTTGTGTTACCAAACCAGGTTCATTTTGCCCACTGCATGATCATGCCAATCACCAAGATGATGAGTTTGCAGCAGAGAAAGGGTTTATTCACAAGGCAGCCAAGCGAGGAGATGGGAGAACCAATCTTAAATCCACATTCCCAAAAATAGGGATTAGGGATATTTATGGGATAAGGGGGCAGAGTGGTCTGAAGTGTAGGAATAGATGATTAGAGGTGAGGAAAAGTGAGGTAATTGATATCTGTGCAAGCATAGTCAAGCTTCATGGCTCGTCAAAGGATGCATGTTCACCAAATGGCGGCATCACCATGATCTGAGGGTGGAGTTTTTGGTTCCTTGACAACAAAAGGTCACCTATTGGTCACAGGCCCAGTTGATGAGTTGGTGGTCTTAACCAGCCTGAACTGGACAAGAAGTTGACTCTCAGTTCCTGAAAAACTCAAGCACCTGTTACCATGGTGACCCAACCATGAGAGATGTTATCTATAGGGTGGGTTTTAGTAATGCATTATCTAAATACATTTGCAAACAGACAACTAACTGAATATAGTTAAAGCAAGTTGGTCCCCTGTTTCAGTTGTGAGGTTAGAGGATGGGGAATGAGGTTCCTGCTGCTGGTGAGAGCCCTGGGGTCAACTGCTCGACAACCTACTTAATTGTTCCAGGATCAGTTGTCAAGCAATCAATAAATCCATCCATTCGATTTCACTGTAGAATTGCATCAAAAAGCAGTTGGGCAGTCTGGACATATGGTCCCTCTGACCAGTCCACAGTCCTCGGACTGCTGTCCAATCCAGGGCTCAGCTATTTTACTGCCTAAGAAGAAGAAAAAAGTAACAACTGTTTTGTGACTTATTTGTGAATGTATTATTACAACACAGTGCTCAGCTTCATCTGTCACCAAAGCCCACCTCTCTCCTGGCTCTTTTTTGCATCCTGGAGGGCTGCCTCCTTGAATATATTGCTTACTAAAAGAAGGACGTCCATCATCCTTTCATCAAACTAAAAGGCGGCTTCCTCATGACCCCACAGAAAGCAAACC